GGGAGTCAGGAACGCTCGCCCGCGGAGGCCCGGGCCCATCCCGGGCGGGTGCTGCCACCTGCCGGCAGGAGGGGAGGCTGGGCCCCTGCAGCTTCTGGCGGCCTCCACCTTGAGTCCCCTCCGGTGCAAGGCTGCCTGGGACCACCGCGCCTGGGCAAGGGCATCCCGGGAGCGGAAGCCGTGGCGCCACCAGGGGCAGGACAGGACTCGGGGTCTCTCCACACCTGCCAGCCTGGCCATCCTCGGAGACCCTCACATCAGACTTGGTCAGGGGCGAAGTTGTCTTCGAAACTTGAGTTTGCCAAGGGTTTTCACGGCCCCCCACTTATTAGGAAGCCTATGCAGAGCAGGAACCCAAGGCAGGCGGCCCCAGCAAGCGGGAGAGGCCCCAACCTCTCCCAGGTCTCCCACCTTGCCTGAAAAGCGAGCCAGGACACAGCGGGCAGAGCTCAGAACCTCCCATCCTTCTGGGCCCGGGGTGGGAATGGCCAATGTATGGTCACCTGTGGGGCACCACATGTCCAGCAGTGCCCAACACACCCCAGGTATCCATGAAAAGCCACTTCCTCAACTATTGGGGTGACAGGGCACTGTGGGGGTCCACACCTTTTCTCCCTTCCCCCCACCAGGTCCCACCAAACTGGGGTGCGGCGGCTCCACCATCCTCATCCTGCTGGCCACCCCACAGCCCACCACTGCCCTGCCCAGCCCTTCCTTGTCCCCCAGGAGCTGCTGTAGCTTAATGAGCTAGTCCCTGAACACGGGCAGTTCGGGGAGGGGGCAGCAAATATGGCCCCTGCCGCATTCGCATCTGTCACACTCATTTCTGGCCTTAATAGGCTGCTGCTGCAGGATCAGCACATCAGCAGGTCTGTGCTCTGGCAGGGAGGCTGACGTCTGCGCAGCCTAATTGGGCTGGGAAAGGCAGATGGAGCAGGGGGCGAGGGGTGCGACGCCGCCCGGCAGCCCACTCACCTCCCGCAAAGGCCCCCTGGGCCTGGCTGGAGTCCCTGGGCCCAGGGAGAGGGCTGACGGCTGGTGTACCTTCTGAGCCTGGGAAGTGAGGTGTTCAGTGTGTGAAGAGCCAAGTGCAACCTCAGATGGGATCAGCCCCGTCTGGTTGGTCCAGGACATTTCAGAACATACTTTATTCAGCACCAGCAGGCTCTGCACCGGGAACAGGATGACCAGGACACTGTCCCTGCCCTCAGAGGGTGTACAGGTTGGGTGGAGAAACCAACCAGCTTCTGGCTGGTTACCATGGATTAGGGTAAAACGGGGTGTGGGGGGGTGTCCCAGAACACCTAACCCAGAGGTGTTAGCCAGTTGCAGGAAAAAAAAACAAGAGGTATTCCAGACGAGAAGCGGCAGGGCAAAGGCACAGAGGCAAGAACGGTCCTAGAGCTCAGGGCTGGGAGGGAGTGGGAGGTGGTGAGCAGGCACAGGAAGCAGGTCCCCAGAAGAGACTGGCCTCGTGACAGCATTACCTGTGAGAATCTTCACTGCCTCCTGGCCAAGGGCTTCAGCCTGGGAGAGGACCCTGCTGAACCCTGTTTGCAGGTGGAAACCCTTGTTCAAAATGACCCCCTAGGGTCCACGGGGGGTGCAGGCTATAGATGGGCAGGTGCATGGATGGAGTTCAGCCCAGGGAGTCCTGGGCCGCCCAACTCTCAGGAGGGCCACATGGACAGTGCTCCCCTCCCAGAAACGTAAAACAAACTGTTGCATACACACACCACTGTGGATACTGTTCTGTGGGTGGTGCCAGGGGATGGAAGTGGGGGCAGCACCCACAGGCAGCCACTGCTTCTCTGCCTCAGACAGGACGCTCCAAAGAAGGGGGGCCCAGCCCAGATGACAGCATCCGTGTGTGTGTGTTGGGAGGCAGGGCATGTCACCTGGCTTTGGCCTCCAAGCTAGGCATCCTGGGAGGGCCCAGCTAGGGCTAAGGCAGGAGACAACGGGTGAGTAGGTACAGGAGGCTGACAATGCCCGCCAGGGCTGCGAGGACGCCAAGCCTCAGTGGCAGGTACTCCAGGGAGCGCTCCAGCTCGGCGTGCAAGAGGACCACCTGGCGTTTGGTGACACTCCACTCGCCTGAGTTATCCAGAACATGGCGGGCCAGCCGGGCCTTGTCCGCCAGGGGCAGCTGGGCATTGATGCGGGCCTCGGCGTCCTCGCGGTTCAGGCTGTTCCGTCGCATCAGCCGCACCAGCTGCGTGTCCCGGTCACTAAGGACAGGGCAAAGGGCACTGGAGGTCCCCACCACCCGGCCTCCCTCCCACCCTGAGTCAGACCCGGCCTGGAACTGAGAGCCCTGCAGCCCAGCAGGGGGCCTGGAAGCTCCACCCCACTGCACCCACTCTGGGGGAGGCCCCAGATTCTATGGGCTACTGAGCCCCTCAATACAAACAAGGGGAGTTCTGCAGCAGTTGTTTTCTTGCCATCTGGGGTCTGCGCTTTGCTGCTAGGCCTGAGGTTTCCCATCCTAAGATGGAGGATGTGATCACCAGAACCAGCCACGTCCTGGATCCCTGGACGGGTGACCTTTACCGAAGGCCTGTGCCTGCACGCCAGCCGTGTCCTGCATTCCCCCCCCCCGAGGAGGGGGGGAGCTTGGGCTGCGACATCAAAAATAGCTCCCGGGGCCACCACCTCTCCTTGCCTCCACCCCCCACCCTCACCCCTGCTCATTTAGAGACAGAAATGGCCAAGATGCCAGCTGCCCTGCTACATGCTGCGATGCCATGGGTTGGGCAAGCCTGGGGTGCTTCGAGAAGGCATGAGGACTGGTGACCTGGACCCCAGTCCAGGGGCAGGATCAGGCACAGCAGATGAGGCTGAGCCACATTCAGCCTCCCAGCTCCAAGGGACAGCCAAAGAAGCCTCCTTCCCTGCACTGACACTGCCGTCCGGGTCATTCGCGGGAAGCTCTCTCCTGCCTGGGCCCGGCTGGCTGCAGTTAGTCCTGTGGGGTGGGGGCGTCCCTGATGCTCCCCGGGCTCTGTGACCTGCCTCAGCCCCCAATGGGAGCAGAGCAGAAGGGCTGCAGGCACGCCCACCATCTGGGCCTTTCTGCTTTGCCGCTCGGCCTGAGTTTTCCCGGTTATAAAGTGGGAGATTCGGTCCCTTCTTTGGGACCCTGGGTAGCAGACCAAGTGAGCCAGAGACAAGTGAGGCTGCCCCCTGTGGAATCAAGCTACATGAGCCCTGGGTGTCATCTGTTACGGGGGACAGTGAGCTGTCGAGGTTGTGGGGCCCATCCCTATCTGGCTGGGAACAGGACTAAATCTGACCTTTGCCATGGATGCCACGAATCTGCGGCTGGGGAGAGGGTGGAGGGCGTGAAGATGGGGATGGCTCAGGGCGCCCCGTGGGTGCCCATCCTCCCGAGGATGAGGTCAGGCGTGGGGGCCCTGGGTGTGAAGGCAGTGCCCTTCCCGCAGCCCTTCCTAGGGCTCAGAAATGGTCCCGGCACAGCTGGGTTGAGACTCCACATGCTTTATGGCCGTGAGCTTTTTATCCGAACGCTCATTCCACAATTGGCAAATTGCTCAAGACCGTGATAAAGCACCTTTTGGTATGATCACATGCTGGGAAACACCCTGTGTAATTTCAAGTGCACCTGGGTGGTTTGCCAGTTACAGGAACCCAGGAGGGACCCTTATTTTCGTAAAGTGTAGGTCCCTTTGGTGAAAAGCAAATGTTGCTCACCTTCATCTCTCTGGCAGCTCTCAAGATCACCCCACACCTGCCGGACACGGGCACAGACGGCACCCAAGCTCTGGCAGAGGCTCCTCTGCCTCGTGAGGGGCTAGGGCTCTCCTGGGAGCCCCAGGATCTACAAGGCACCACTCGTCCGCCAGAAGCCACAGCTATCTCTGCTCCAGCAGATGGACCGAGCTCTAAAGAGGGTGCCAGAAGGGGCAGGCTGGGGTCACCAGGTGACTATGCTGCCATCAGCCCTCTGTCTTCTCCCTACGTGCTAAGACCCTTTTTAAAAACATGTTTATCTGGCCAGGTGCGGTAGCTCACACCTGTAATCTCCTCACTTTGGGAGGTGGAGGCAAGAGGATTGCCTGCGTCCAGAGGTTCAAGACCAGCCTGGTCAATTTGGCGAGACCTTGTCTCTACAATAAATTTAAAAATTAGCTGGGCATGGTGCTGCGTGCCTGTGGTTCCAGCTACTTGGGAGGCTGAGGCTGAAGGATCACCTGAGCCCAGCAGGCAGAGGCTGGCGGTGGCTGTGAGCATGCATCTGCACTCCAGCCTGGGTGACAAAGTGAGACTCCTACTTGAAAAAAGAAAAAAAAAGACATGTTTATCCCTAGGTGGAAAGTTCCAATTGTGTTACTAAGGTAGAGAGTCCCAGGGCTTCGTGGGGTTGTGTGGCTTAGTGGACAGTCTCACTAACAGGGAGCTAAAAGCCCAGAGAGGCTGCAGGTTCACATGAGGAGACATGGCCCAGTGGGGGAAGGAGAGGAGGCCAAGTCCCCATGCCTTAAGGGATTCAGACTGGGCTTAAATGACAGCCCTTGCCTCCAGTGCGCTGGGAGCCCCTGACGCATTCGTCTAGAGCCACCCTGTGCCCAAAACACCCACAGAGCCAGGGCCCCCCATGTGTATGCCATACCTGTGGGTGGCATCAGGAAGCCTTTGGGCGCAGGTATATGCTGCAGCCCATCTATGCCCTCACCTGCAGGGACCATGACTCAGTTTCTCTCAGTTGGGTCCTCTTCTGTTGCCAAACCTGATGCCCAGTTTGCTTCATGTCCTGGGGACCCTGGGAACAAGTATCCCCTCCCCAGTGGGCTCTGACAGTTCCCTGCACGAAACTCTGTTCACAGGCATCGCCAGTGAGTGACCCTGGCAAATTCTGTAACTCTACCTTCAATTCCATCTTCAGAATTTAGAAACACCAGCCCCGCCCAACTGCCTCATGTTGAAAGGTGAAGTGTGTGGGGTCGCAGAGGAAGGAAAGGTGGGAGGCTGAGAAGGAGCCGCCAGGCAGCCAGCGGGCAGGCAGGGTCTGGCATCTGGGCGGAAGTGCCTCCGACAGCCAGCAGGGGGAGCCCTCCCCCAAGCACCCGAGAAGGCTGGGGGGTGGGAGGCTGGCATCCCTCCCCTGCCCCCAGGACTGCATGGGGCAGGCACACCGGTTGGCTTCTACAGGCCCTGAACACTGTCGCCACAGGCAGTGCCTCCTGCCCTCGTGGGGAAAGGGCAAAGTGATGGGGGCCACAGCCCAGGGCCCCTCTCCAGCCCCGGGTCTGCGCACTCACCAGTACACCACCACGGTGTGCTTCATGTACTTGAGAAGCTTCTTGGTCTCAAACAGTAGCGGGATGTCCAGGATCACGTAGCGGTATCCTGGGGAGAGTCGGAGAGTCACAGGTCCAACTCCACAGGTGCACGCTGAGGACTACTCAGGTGCCGGGCGAGGGAACAGAGATGAAACGCTGCCCCTCCCCCCCCAGAGTCCCTAGCAGAGGGAGACCTTCCGTGGACAGACACACCCCCAACACAGCCAGTTCCAGTGCTGCTCCGGAGGCTGCAGACTCACTCCTGGTGGGCATGCCAGGGAAGACCTTGCAGGGGGCAGGTACTCGTGCTGATCTCGAAGGGTCGGCGGGATTTTTGATACTCAACAATGAGAAGGTGGAGGAGAGGAGTCTAGGAATGAGGACCAGCACAGCACCAGCAGCAGGGAGCCCTGCTGTGTGGCCAGTGAGGCTCAGGCGGCATGAGGCAAAGCAGAGTAAGTGGTTGGCAGAGGGCTCAGTTCACCTTGATCTGAAATCCAAAAGCTGGGATTTCTCAGCAAAGAAATGGGCACAGCCAGAGTTGCAGGACACTGAGGAGTGCTTCCTGGAGAAGTTGGGCCCATTTGGCCCTACTTCCTCTCACCTTTGCGCAAAACACCCCTAAAAAGACACGTTCTGCCGGGCTCGGTGGCTCAGCCTGTAATCCCGCGCCTTTTAGAGGCTGAGGTGAGTGGATTGCCTGAGCGCGCAGGTTTGTGACCCACCTGGGCAACTTGGCGAGACCTCATCTCTACAATAAATCAAAAAAAAGTAGCCAGGCATGGTAGCGCGCCCCTGTAGTTCCAGCTACTTGGAAGGCTGAGGTGGATGGATCGCCAGAGCCCAGCAGGTCGAGGCTGCGGTGGCCAGGAGTGGCCACTGCACTCCAGTCTGGGTGACAGTGAGACTCCAACTCAAAAAAAAAAAAAAAAAATAAGACGCGTTCTTCCCCACAAGCCAGGCCAGGCCTGGCCCTGCTGGGAAGGGTCGTGTGCAGCCATCTCTATGGCCTCCCCGCCAGAGGACATCCCTGAGGCCTCCCCACCAGAGACCACCTCTGCAGCCTCCCCGCCAGAGGTGCATATGGACGGCAGTGGCAGCCCTAAAGAAGAGAGGCTGCTTCTCCCGTCAGATGCTGACCCACAGCCAAGCACTGTAAGGCCTGAGGCTGGAGGCAGTGGGGGTTATGATGAATGCAGTATAATTCAGTGGGGTCGGATAAGAGGCACTGACGGGGCCCCAACCCTCACCCCCTGCAGGCTACACACTCCTGTCCTCTTTACAGCAGTGACCCCATGTGCATACAAAGCTGGGGAGGAGGGAGTGAGGGTAAAGGACAGGGAGATGCTTTTGCCCTGAGACCCCACCTGGATGAGACCTGAGTCCATGCCCCTGCAGTGTCCCACTCCAAAGCCCTCCAACCACAGAGCCAGACACACGTCACGTTCCTCCTGGGGGTCGTGGGAAGCCAGCACTCAGGTGATGCAGGGACAGGGACGTGGGAGTGACAACCTGGCTCCTTGGTTTCCTGTCCCCAGGCACCCACTGCTCAGGATGCCTAAGCGAAGCCTGCAGTTGAACAAGGGGTTAAAAGCACCGGCTCTGATGACACGCCCTGGCTGGTGGCTCTCACTTCCCCACCAGGGACCTTGGGGCCCTTAACGAACCTCATTACCTACATCACAGGATGACGGTAAAGATTAAATTGATGCGTGTGACCCACGCGGCACCCCTCCTGTCCCCCAGCCCTCCAGCCCGTCCCTCTAAGTGCCCAGAAAACGCGGGTTAGTACTGCAGAAGGTGGCGACTGCTGCCCCACCTGGAGCAGGAGCTAGGCCCAGATCCTCCTGCTTCTTATCTCCCTGCTGTCTGCTCCCACCACCTGCCCTCCCCTACTGTCCTTTCCCCACCCCTCTCGGGACTCCCCACCAGCTCTTCTGTTGACCAGCAAAGGGTTATTCGGCTGTCACCTCCCTCCTGCTTGATAAGCTCTGCAGACTGTCCTGGCTCTATTAAGACATCCGTCTGCCTGCACAGAGAAGTCCCCAACAGCTGGCGATCTTATCTGACGTCTGATTATACCAACTTTGACAGTTCTATTTGTTATACTCATCAGGGAAAGCTGGGACTGTGGAAGCCACAGCTGTCGTCCCTGTTTTTCACCTTATCGAGCTGAAAAGAGCTTTCTGGCTTTTATTTAAGCGGTGGTGGCTGGGGAGGCGGGAGGCTGGGTGGGTGACACAGCGAAAGGGCTCTGGAGCAGGTGACATTATCCCATGCTTCATTTTAGAAGGGGGAGCCACCGCGCCCGCAGCCCTGCAAATGTGCCTGTACTGGCTGGGGAGCGAGCGCACAGGGGCAGGAGGAAGAGGCAGAAGACTCCACGGGGCACGGGAGGGGCGGGGGGGGGATGGCCAGCACAGACACAGGAGGCGGCAGAGTCCAGAAGCTCTTTGGAGTGAGGAGGTGGCCTGAGACAAGGTGCTAGGATGGAGAGCGTGGCTGGCGGGCAGGGAAGATGCTGGAGCCAGTTCTAGCCCTGCCCAGAGCGGGTGGACCTTTTGGGTGTCTCTGCTCATCCCTCTTCTTCTGGAGAGTGATATTGGCCAGTGGGAGTGCGGGTGGAGAGAGGGTCCCCACCCAGGCATGACAGCATAAGGAGCTTGGCCACGGCCACAGTGTAAGAGGAAGGGAAGTCAGCACTGTGACTGACAGCATGGAGACAGGCAGCCGAGTCTTCCACTCAAAGGCCCAGGCTGGAGATCAGGGTGCCAAAGGCTGGCGGCAGGTCTCCAGAGGTCCTAGTTAGTCTCTGGCCTGACCCCAAGCCTCTGCTCTCTGGTCTCCCACTTACCCTGGTGACTGACCCCGTCCTGGACTGTAAACGTCAGGTCACTCTGCCCAACACTGCCCTGAGGTCAGGCTGGAGCTATGGCATGGTGACGGGGGAGGTAGTCGGGGCGGGGGAAGAGGATCTTGCCGATGGTCCCCAGACCCTTGCTTTCGAGCCCTCTCCTGCCTGTCAGTCTTGGCACACACCTGGCTGTCCTTGTGCCCACCAGTCCAAAACTCTCCAGGGAGCCCAAGCCCCAGAGCATCAGCCCTGCTGAGACCCATCTCCCATGGCATCTTGGTCCCTCCCAGCTTCTGGCCTATGTACACACTTTCCCAAAACTGCCCTGACTACAGTTTCTGTGTGTAATAGGGCGGGCACAGGCGGGCTTGCAGGCCTCTGCACACTCATGCTGGCATCGTTCCCCCACTGTGCAGAGGAAGCAGGCTGAGGGTCAGACCACACGACAGAGTCACACAGTTGGCAATGGTCAGGGCCAGGACCCGAACTCGGGTCTATGGCTCCATTATTCACCAGCTGTTACCACTTCTGTCCCGACTAGAAAAACCAACTTACTTCCTGGGATCATGGCTCAAAAGCTGCAAGAGCCCCTTCTTATTAAACTGTCACTGTCCTGAGGGACTGAGGGACACATGCCTGTTTCCTCTGGGACTGGTACGAGGCCCACACAGAGGGGGTGCCAGTACACGGAGGGACCTCATCACCTGGGGCACCAGCCCTCAGGCTATGCTTCCTGCTGAGACAGCCCGCCCTGCCCAGGCCCCAGGTCTCACCCCGGAGGAAGTACTTGAAGGCTTCCTTCACCATCTCCTTGCGGATCTCAGGGTGGGTGATGGCATTGAGCAGCTGCCGCCGGTCAGGCTGGTTGAAGATCAGGTCCCCCAGGGCCTTGCGGTTGATATCACCGTTGTCCAGCAAGACCTCCGTGCCGAAGGCCTCCACGATGCGCCGGTGGGCAGGGCGTCCCGGCTGGACCACTGTGGCACAAGGAGGAGGAGGCTGGGTCACTCTCCAGAGCCTCCAGGCCCACCAGAGGACCCCAAGTGACCAGATGCCAAGCGTTGGGAGAGCCTAGGAGTGCTTCTTTCAGGTGAAGCCAAAACAAAATGCAGGGCGGGAGAGTAGTGGAGGAGGGCAGAGCGCGGGATCCTCTGTGTGCCATGAGGTAGAGCAAGGACTTCCAGAGAGTGGAGATGAGAGGTGGCCTGGGCAGGGACGGGAAGTCAGCTTGCCTCTCCTCTGTACTCTCAGAAAGGCCAGGATGGCGGGACACACTGTCCATCCACCCTGCCCTAGCTCACCGTGCCGGGCGATGACGTCCACGTCGATCACGGCACAGCCCAGCTGCTGGAACACCTGGATCACAGAGCTCTTGCCTGAGGCGATGCCCCCTGTCAGGCCCACCAGGAACATCTTCCCAGGAGGGGAGGTCTGCGAGGCCAGGAGCTCGGAGTCGGAACTGGGAGAGCAGGCAGGCGCGGCCGTCAGGACAGTCTGCCAGAGGAATGCCAGGGAACCCGCCTGTTGGAGGCCAGCGGGCCAGGTCAGTGTGGGCCAAAACTACCAGGGGAGAGGAGGCAGAGGGTGCCACAGCCCAGCTGGCAGCGTCATGCCTGGGCCTGGGAGCCTTGGGGCCATCTGGAGAGGAGTCACCCTCCAGGAAAGGCCTCCAGCATCCTAAAAACACTCACAAAGGCAAACACACACAGCCTAAATGCAGGCAGGCAGCACAAGGTCGGTGCTGATGGCAGCGTGCATAGGAGGGTGTTCCCACTGCAGATAAACCTCCCACAGGGAGGGCACCCCATCCCTCTGTGGTGACCAAGTCACTTTTCAGAGGCCTGCAGGTCCCCCTGGCCTGGGACACTGAGGCTCACAGGGAGGAAACAGCCTGCCCACAGCCACCCAGTGGGTTGCGGGAGGGACCACGGGGTCCCACTGCCCGGACGCTCTTCTGCCCTGAAGCCCCTCCTCACCGAAGGCCTCCCACCCAGGCACCAGCGCCAGGACCACCCAAGTGGCCAGTCTAGCCTGAGCTGCACGACCCCCCTCTTCAACCCAGGGGAGGCCCCAGTGGGGATCTCATTGTGGGAGTGGCTCAGCAGCTGCTAAGCTGCTAAGTCTGTTGGGCAGAGAAGCAGGGATCCTACCAGGAAGAAATGTGAGGGGAAGGCTGGCAGTGGCAGTGGCAACGTCGCTCTGAGCTCGGTGGCGTGGCTTGCGGCTGCCTCGGCCAGGCAGCAGCAGCACGGCATGAAAGGAAGGAGCATGGCCTCAGATCCAGCTCCCCCTCACCTGCTGTGCAACCCCGGCGAGTTGCTTGCATCTCTGAACCTGTTTTCTCATCCATAAAATGAGGCTGTGCGGATCACAGGCTGCCTCATGGGGCTGGCATGCAAAGTGAACGAGAAGGTGCATGGGACAGTCCAAGGGACACAGCCTGAGACATGGGAGGTGCCCAGGAAAGGCAGTAAGGGTAGTGAGGTTGGTGGCAGCAGGGATCAGTGCCACGGCCAGGCACGGGAAGACTTTCACGCAGTCACATCCCATCCCCGCAACCTCAGGTTGTTGCACAATAAACTTTTAAAAAGTCACGGTGCATTTTCCGGGTAAATGAGGTCACTGTGGCTGGCCTTCGTTCCCAGGCTGGGAGCAATGAAACCGAAGCCAGGCCTCCTCTTCCCTCAGCCTTTCAGCTTCCCAGGACTGTGATCTGTCATAGGACTGTTTTCATTAAGCGGCAGATTTACTGTCCTAATTACACTTGCCTGAGCTTACACTGAAATGAGCCTGCCTCCCGTGGGGACGCATCAGACAACAGGGGAGGCAGCTGCTGGGAGGTGGCTGAGCTGGTGCCTGGCCCAGGGCAGCAGGGGACCGAGCCAGAACTGAAATCTGCCTCAGTTCACTCTCCCCCAGGGACGCAGTGGAAAGAGGAAAACACCCATCCCAGAGGCGTCATCCAAACAGAGCCCTCACCACGTACTTAACCACTTGCACATTCTTTCTAGGCTCCGCACAGCAGCTCACACCTGTAATCCCAGTGCTTGGGGAGGCCCAGGCAGGAAGAGGGCTTGAGGCCAGGAGTCCAAGACCAACCTGGGCAACACAGTGAGTCCAGATAATAATAATTTCTCTTCAATCTCTTTTGAGGCTGGAGTCACTCCAGGTGGTCTCCCTCCAGGTTACAAAAAGAGGAGTTAAGGATGGGGTTCAGTTGTAAACACACACACACACACACACACACACACACACACACACACACACACACACACACACAGTTGGTCTGCTTGGCTGAAGCTCTGAATAGCACACCCAGCAAGGGTGCTTTGCGTGCCCAGCCCCCACCACTATCCCTAAAGCAGTGGGCCTCTGCCACTCTTTCCCCATCTGGAGGAATGTGAGTGGGCCTGGAGAACGGCCAGGCCCCGTGAGGGGGAAAGGGCCAGCTTCCCATAGGGCCCTGACCTCTCGTCACTAAAAGCCAGCTGCTGGCACCGGTCTCCCAGCCTTGCCAGGCTCAGCCGAAGGGCCCGGAAGACCATCTGACTGAACAAACCTCAACCCCCTGTACACAGACGCCGGGGCCCCTCCCGAGACCCACTGAGGCAGAATCTCCAGGGATGGAGCTGCCGGGCTTCCTGACGTGCAGCAGGGCTCAGGACAGATTCTAACTCCATTTACGGTGGTGGAGACGGAGGATCGGAGAGGGAAGGGACTTGCCCAGGCCATGGCCATTAGGGCGGGATGGAATTCAGGGTTCCTCACTGCTAGTCTAGACCCTGCCCTTAATATACTCAAGGCACAAAACACTCGTTTATCTTTAGGCTAAGAAGTCAGAGTGAGCGGGTGAACTTCTCTGCAGGCCACTCAGGTCAGAGACTAAGAGAAATGGTCTCTTGATCACTGTACTGCTTCCTTCCTGTGGAATGAGGGTGAGGGAGACGTGGACGGCGGCCAGGGCACAGATGTAAATCCTTGGCTCCTGGGTGACCCCACAGACATCTTCCTTTTTCAGTGCCTGGGATGAGCATCTGTACACACAGACCCACAGCTGCGTGGCCTCCATCAGAGAGGCCAGGGGGATGGAGGAGCACGTGCCAGGAGGCTCCGGACGGCATAAAGGGACTGGACAAATAGCAGCTGCTTCTGTCCGCCAAGCTTCCTGACTCTCCCATCACGGCTGTGAACTGGGCTCCTCTGTGCTTTCACCTAACAGATGAACACAGCCAGGTGAATGGAGCACACTGACAGGTGAGCAGGAGCAGTAGGGGGTCCTGGCCTGGGCTGGGGTCTGAGTGCCCCCACTTGCATGCTGCTCACAGACCCACTGGACCTGTAGTGGGCCAGAGCCCCTGTCCTTTTGGGCTCAGCCAGGACACGGAGCTGAGGCTCCCAGTGGCCTGAGTCCCACCTAGACCTGCCCAGTGGCTCCCCAGATACATGGACAGAGACCGCCTATGGTCTCCTGTGTTCATGACCCTCGATTTGCTCTGGTCCTCACTCTCCAGAATCCACTGCAGTTTCCCTCACTCCGCTGCCTCCTGCACAGACATGGCGTGTCCCTCACACCAACTGCTAAGCCAGCTCTGATCTGAATGCCCTTGTCCCCAGCCCAGGGAATCTGGATAAGCCAGGTCCAGAACCACTGCTGACGTGGAGGGCTGTGGGCTAGAAGTCGAGAGGCCTGGTCCTGGTCCCTGAACTGTCATAAAATGACCCTGTGGCTGCAGGAAGCCCTTCCACCAGCCAGCCAAGGGTGGCAGGGGCTCCGTTTGAGGGTCAGCCATGCCCGAGTGTCTTCCTTCCCCTGAGCCTGAAATCGAGGGGGGTGGCCACCGATCATGCTCCTGGGGGACGCTGTGAGCCGCACTGATACCATCTCCCTCTCCTCCACGGTTCAGCGCTTTCCTTAAATGCTCTCCTGATGACCAGGATGACATGACTGGTAGCCTGGGAATCCTCCTCACCACCAGAAGCCATTCACAGAGCTGACTGGGCTGGAGAAGGGCCAAGTGAGTCCACCGTAACAAAGAGGACACCAACGGCCTATGCAGGAGAAAGGGAGGCTGCATTCTGGAGTGAGGCCTCGCGCCCATCAGCCGAGGTGGAACCGGAAGGAGAGGCAGGCCTGTGATGCCAGGGAGGCCCCTCCACTCATTCTCTCCCTCATTCTACTGCCCTGGAAAGGTGGCAGGGCATCAGGGAAGGGTGAGGACTTGGGTTTGAAGTGGCATCTGCACCCAAACCTGCTGTGAGCTCGAAGGCCTGGGAGGGAGGGCCAGAGGCTACTGTAAGTGGTGGGCGCTTCTCTCACAGGCTTCTCCAAACAGCCTTTCTGCCTATCCCACCTGAGCCCCAAGAGCCCAGAGAAGGCAAAGGCAGAACACTCGGGACAGTCTCTCAGAACACCCTGGCAGAGCTGGAGGAATGCTTCCTGTCCCTAGATAAAAGCCCCCGCCCTGGGAGGTCTGCTGAGTTCTGACTCCACCAGGCCCACCCTGCCCTGCTAACCTAAGCCACCACCCGCCAGCACCTGTTCCCAGGCCAGTGCAGGAGCCTCAGGACCTGAGCCTCCTGTTCTCGCTCTGCTTCTCCTCAAGGCAGCCAGGGGTATGGCTTAAAAGGTCATCTGATTATGTCAATCCCTAATTAAATCATTTTTTCCTCCCTGAGTCAGAGTCTTTGTTGCCCAAGCCAAAGTGCAGTGGCACGATCACAGACACCACAGCCTCGACCTGCTAGGTTCAGGCGATCTTTCTATCTTTCGGCCTTAGTCTTCCAGGTAGCTGGAACTATAGGCACACGTCACCACACCTGGCTAATTTTTTGATTTATTGTAGAGAAGTGGTCTCACCAAGTTGCCCAGGCTGGTCTCGAACCCTGGGGCCCAGGCAATTCTCTCGCCTGCGCCTTCCAAAATGTTGGGATGACAGGCGTGAACCACCGCGCCCAGCCCTATTAAAGTCTTCACTGCCTTTCTCCCCCTCCTCCTGGCCCTTCGGAGGTCTCTGGGCCCCGTGTGATCCCCTCAGTCACTCCCTGTCCATGCCCTGTGCTTGTCACACTGACCTTTCTGTTCCTGCACGGAAGGCTCTTTCTCACCTCCAGGCCTCCGTGCATGCTGTGCCCTCTGCAGACACTTCCCTCATGGCTACGTAGCCTTTCCTTATTCTGAGCTCATTCCAACAGGGGTGCCTGCCCTCATGGTGCGGGGGGGCGGTGTGGGGCGGTGTTGGGGGTGTGGGGTGGTGTGTGTGTGTAAACAATAAGCTCATGGTATCAGGAGCTGCAGGGGTTGCTGTTTTAAAAGAGGCGCCAGGAGGTCTCTTTCGCCATGCTGGGAACCAAATGCGGCCAGGGAGCAAGTCACCACCCTCAGAGCAGCCTCGTTGTCCCCACTCCCGTCAGGCCTCTGGAGCCTCTCACCATTCAGTTTACTTCCCCTTCCTGTACCTGCCCCACTTTACACTCTCACTTTTGTTCGTGTAGCTTTATATTGGTTTTGTTTTTTGAGAAAATACTTTTTCATTTTAAGGAGTGGCAGGCATCCAGTCTCAGAACTTTTGGAACTGCTTCTTGGTGCCGGCGGCCTTGGTGACCCTGAGCACGTTGAAGCACACTGTCTTGCTCAGGGCCCAGCAGTTGCCCACTGTGACGATGTCACCCATCTGGACATCCCTGAAGCGGGGGGAAAGGTGCACGGACATGTCCTTGCGGCTCGTCTCGGAGCGACTGTACTTTCGAATGTGGCGGAGGCAGTCCTGGTGGATGACATCGATCCTCTGCATCTTCATCTTGGGCATTTCTTGTCAATGTAGGTGCCTTCGATGGCCTCTTTGAGCATCTTGAAACTGAGCCCGATGTTCTTGTAACAGCTCAGGAGTTTCTCCTTGCCAGTCTCGCCCAGCAGTACCCTCTTTTTGTTCTGGAAGATGGTTGGCTGCTTCCGGTAGGCATGCTCAGTCTGAATGTCCGCCATCTTCCCAGCAGCCTAAAAAAAGGAGCGGCAGCGGTGCTAGAGCTTCCTTATCCATGGCGCGGGGGCTCTTTTTAAATTTTTTTTAAAAATTAAAACGATCTTTCTTTCCTTTCAGAGACAGGGTCTTGCTATGTTGCCCAGCCGGTCTTGAATTTCAGCTTCAAGTGATCTTCCTGCCTCAGTTTCCCAAAGTGTTGGGATTACAGGCGTGAGCCATTGGACCCAGCCTGTTCATTCAGTTATTTTAGAATGATGGATAAATCAAGTTCCATGAGGCCCTAAGCCATGTCTAGTTTGTACCCGTATCCAGCATCTGTCTGTCACCGGGCGAGTGACACTGGCCCAGTTACTTAATGTTTCTTAGACTCAGTTTCTTCATCTGTAAATGGAGTGAGTTGCTGTGAAGCCAAGGAGCTAACACACATCAAGTGCTTGGAATGGTGCTTGGCACCCACATTCAGTCAATGCTCCCGATGCGCTATTGCAGGGAGGGTGTGATGACTATCACAGAGTGAATGACTAACCCAATCCATGACATGGCCCCACATCAGCCCAGGGGAGGGAACAACTAGGGGCACAGCCTGGTCACCCCCTTATCCAGCAGAACATGCCTCTGGCAGCTAATCCCTCTCTCCTGGGAGATAATCAGAAACAAGCAGAACACCCAGGGGGGGACATAGAATCAGCGACTGATCTTCGAATAGACTCTCCTTCCTCCTGGAAGAGCTCAGGACTGCAGTGGGACGCAAGTGCTATGCTTCACTGTTCCAACCACAGCCTGAGCCTGCGAGCACAGGGCTAGGACCTGGCTCCCTCCTTGGCTTGCCGTGTCTGTCCTCCTCCCCACACAGTCCCCCAGGATTTCACACGGGACAGGCCTGGCCAGCCAGATGTGTCTCCTCTGATTTGCTTTCTGAAGGGGATGTACCTATTTCATACCAATGATCAATATAATCATTCATGAAAACAAGTCATTCCCCGCCCTGGGACCCAATTATTTTCTTGTGGAACCAGTGGTTGCAAAAATATCTTGTTTTTCAGTTGACTATTAAGTGCTATTTTTATATACGCCTCCCCATGCCTAATCTTTCATTACTGGTGAGAGGTTGCTCTTTGAACCTCGGGTCCAAGTTCTCTCTCTGCTAGGCCTATTAAGCCACTACCTCCTCCAGTCACCAGGAGGGAGGCCCCTCCATCTCTCCCCTCTCCCCCGCACTGGCACCAGGGAAAGGAGGGGACGGGTCTCTCTTCCCTAGTGAGCACTAACCAAGCACAAAATGTCACTCCAGGGAGTTTCTATGGGTGGGCAGGGAAGTAGTTTAGGCTAGACCTCCCAGGGGAGGCCTGCTCTCAGAGGCCTGGAGGCAGGGGACCTTGGCTGGGACATCAGCTCCCTCCCTAACTAGCTGTGTGGCCCCAGGCCATTCATTTCAGCATTCCCAGCTCCCTTTCCTTGAGTAAAATGGGATTCCTGATGACTACTGAAAGGAGCTTGTCAGGTTAAATGAGGTGACATAGGTCACGGCCACCTCACCTTCCCCACCTCAGTGTGTGACATGCCGCAGCCACTGCAGTCCACTCCGTTCCTCTGTGCGGCTCCTCCGTCCTTCCACTACCTTAGGCCCAAAGCCTGGCCCCTCCTGGCCTCACCCCACCACAGCACTCATCACTCGGCCCCCACCCTCCCCCACCACAACACGGCCAGCCCCACTCACTAGCACCTGCTCCTGGACCTGCAAGGCCTCAGCCGTCCCCTTGCTGCCCCTCTGCTTCTGAGTCTGTTCCTAATAGATCTGTGAAGATATCTGCCGAAGGTGGTTCCTGGTGGCCCATGCACAGGGGAGTAGGCACCCCAGGGGGACGCAGGAAGCTCTTTCAAGGGACACAAAGGCAGGTTACAGGTAACCTATTTACAACCCAGATCCCCCTCTCACGCTCACCCATGTCCCAAGTTTCAGGGAAAGGCATAACTGCCCGCCCATGCCAAATCTCATGGAACTGTCCCAAGTGTCAGTATTCATGCAGAGACTGTAATGGCTTCTAGTGACCAAGACATGAATCCTTGCCCAAGTCAGGTGGTTTCTAAACCCTGACCTTTAACAAAATTAAAGGGGTCCCCTCCCACTGTAGGAGCTTTTCTGTCCTCTTAATAAATCCTGATTTCTCACACACACAAATATATATATATATGGAGGACCTAAAAAAATTACTTACTGACAGACTGTTAATAAATGACTTGATGATAGAATCACTATGTGGTTTTTTTAGGCCCATAATTCAGAAAGTGTTCAAAGGTTTGAGGGATATTGCTGAAACAAAACACCTTTGATTCCTGTGTATTTAATTAATCTTCCATGAGGAAACCAAGTATGTGTAATATGAGTTCAAGAAGGAAAAAGGAAAGATTTGAAATTTAACCAGAAGCTGGGAGAGCGGTGACTCACGCCTGTCATCCCAGCACTTTGGGAGGTGGAGGTGAGAGGATTGCCTGAGACCACAGGTTCGAGACCAGCCTGGGCAACATGGCGAAGCCTCAACTCTATAATAAATCAAAAAATTAGCCAAATTGGCGCTAGTTGGAAGGCTGAGGCAGAAGGATTGCCTGAGCTCAGCAGGCCAAGGCTATAGTGGCTGTGAGGGTGCCACTGCACTCCAGCCTGGGCAGCAGAGTGGGACTCTGACTCAAAAAACAAAAAGACATTTAACCAGTTAAATTAAAACAGATTCTTTTTTTTCCCCTAAAGGATAAGGGAAATCAAATCAAATCAAATCACTAGGGTACGCATTTAGATTCTACTGCATAGATGTAAATGAGTGACATAACAGCTTTATTTTTAAATGTGAATATTTACCACTAACTAAAAATTATTTCCTTGGTAACTACTGAAACTTTCAGAGAAAAACTTCAGCTCTCCATCTAAAAATGTGCCAGCAGGTAATTTTCAAAACAAAGCTGGCATTCCTGATCTTTCCTCCTTAAGGCACAGGCACCGAGAGGCTCTGAAGTCCTTTATCACCCAGACAGATTCAAGCCTTGTTCAAAAAGGAGGATTTGGTGGGCATTCAGGGCCCTGCGAAGACAGAAGTGCCCCACTGGCCTGGCCACTTCCCACTCATCAGCCAGATCTCTCACGCATCTCACCCAATCCCTAGGCCAGTGCCTGCCCGGCCACACCATGTCCACATGATGTCTTCAGGTAAAATAAGCACTCCTCTTCCCGCAAAACAAACACAAACAGAAAGCACACTGAAAACAGAAAACCTAGCAGGACATGGAGGCTCACGCCTGTAATCCCAGCACTTTGGGAGGCTGAGACAAGAGGACTGCCTGAACCTGCCTGAGCCCGAGTTCCAGACCTCGTCTCTACAATAAATTGAAAAATAAACTAGCCGGGTGTGGAGTTGCATGCCTGTAGTGAGACTCCAACATAATAAAAAAAAAAAAAAAGAAAAGAAAACCTATTCTAAGACTTCTAGTTCCTCACCTTTAGAATAGGGACTTAATTAACATCAGAGTACACTGGGGCAGTTTGAATAATTTCCCCATAACCAAGAGAGAGTGGAAAAACCTTTGAAAACTCAAAAGCAAACACAGAGGTGCCAAGGCCTCCTTGCGGAGGCTGGGGAAGGGGCAGGTGGTCTGACAGCTCTTTTCCATTTTTTGAGTTGGAGTCTCACTCTGTCGCCCAGGCTGGCATGCAGTGGCACGCTCACGGCCACCACACCTGCCGGGCCTAGGCGATCCTTCCGCCTCAGTCTTCCAAGTAGCTGGAACACAGGCGTGTGCCACCATGCCCGGCTGATATTTCGATTTATTGTAGAGACAAGATCTCGTCAAGTTTTCCAGGCTGGTCTCGGACCCCTGGGTTCAAGCAATCTTCTGGCCTCGGCCTGCCAAAGTGCTGGGATGACAGGCCGAGCCACCGCGCCCGGCCTGACAGCCCTTTGTGGCAGTGGACTGATGATCTTCGCCAGTGGACGAGCGGGAGACCCCCAGCGCCAGGCCTGGGCCTTCCCTAGCCTCTCGAGGGGTGCGGAGGAGAGGTCTGACCACCAGAGACGACCGCGCAGCGAAACAGCGGCTGCCCGGCCACGCATCCACACACGCCCCACGAGGCAGGCACTGCCGTTATCACCTTCGCTCAGACGCGCAACCTTCGAGCGGGGAAGGCACCCAAGGTCCCACAGCTGCAGTGGCAGGGGCTGGATGCAAATTGCATCTGCCCACACAGCACGATCCCGGGCGAATCCACGGCTCCCACCCTTTCCAGCTGTCGGCCCCGCTCCGTCTCCGCAGCCGTCAACCGGGACGAGGCCGCCAGGCTCGGCCACACG